CATCGGGGCGGTTCTGGGTATATCAGGCAGACCCCGGACCGCGCCGAGGCCGTCGGTAATGGCCGAGCTTCTTCGAGCCGTTCAACAGTGCCTCCTGAGGCCGCGTCGACTGCAGCTCCGGCTACCGGTAGCCAGATGGCGCAGACGGCTCCTGGTCCGTCTTCTTTGACTTCTGGCCCCTCGCGTCTCACCCCTCCCGCGAACACCCTCTTCGATCTGTTTGGAGACGGTGAACTGTCCGACGTTGATGAGGCCTCGGTCTTGCCGATGGGAGGTAATAACCCCTCGTCTGCAGATGGTAATGTGTTGTTTCCCTTTCCCTCTCCTCTGATTCTTACCTGGTTTTCTGTTCACCAGAGCCGTCTGGTGGTGCCGCTGCTATGGATGTTGACGGGGGTAACTTTCCTGCAACAGGAACCGTGAGTATCCGCGTACATCTTGTCCCGTATTCCTCGCTGATGATTGTTTTGTAAAGACGCTCCCATCGTTCACGCCGCGCAGGAGCGGTAGGGTCCCTAAGCGCAAGCATGACGAGATGGCAGCCGATGAGGAAGAGCAAGAGGAAGAGGAGGAAGAGGGTGTTGCCAAAGGTCGTTGGGTGTGTCTGTATAGTGTTTTGATCAGCTCAGCGTAACTGACGTATATCTTTCAGGCTCCCAAGTCAAGGACCCCTAGGAAGCGGACTTCTCCTGCGAACCTAACCGCGACTCCCTCTGGCAAGAACACCGTCACCGGCAATCGTGGCACGCGGCAGAACACGGTCGATGGAAAGGGCAAGGCCACCGACCGGGCATTAGGTCCTACAGGTGAAGAAGTCGTCGTGAAGAAGGAGCCTCCTTCCACGGTCTCTAGCAGCGTGATTAAACGCGCGCGTGTTCGCATCGCACGAGACTGGGATTCCGTTCGCGTCTTAGACGACGACGGGTCTGCTCTGACTGAGACTGTCAGGCGCCTATGGAAGGCTCCGGTCCACGCCAAACCGTCGAAGGTGGAGACTGACGCGCCGAAGGAGATCAAGCCCATCTTGGACCCTTCTACTAGCCTACGTGTACGCTTGATTCTATTCTCGCGTTTGTCTCAACTGACTTGTGTTTACAGCTGTCAGGTATGGGTAGGCTTGCCACACCGAAGGAGCTTGATCTGTCTTCCGGCAACGTTCGGTTGTCCCCGCAAAGTGACAGGGTCGTTCGATCGAGTGTAGAGGACGAGGACGCGATGGATCTTGACGGAGAAGACGCTGGCCAGGATGGTCTTATGCGCTTATACGACCTGAATGTCACGTTTCCGCGTTCAGTGGTCAGACTTCTTCGCCTTCGCAGCTGTTTCGTGCTGATGATGTTCTTTGAACCAGGTCAAGCGCGCGACCCGGCTGTTCAATAAGGTTGGAAGCGTGTTCGGTTCGCTCGACATCAACAAGGACGTCTCTTGGATCGACAGGTACTCCGCCGACGTTTGGGATAAAGTCAACTTCACCGAAGTCGAGCGCAACATGAGCCGCGGGCACGCCATCTTGGTCACCGGGACAGATTTAGGCGACGGTTGGGACTTCAATATGAAGTGCGCTCGCAGGATCAGGGAGGGGACCACGCTCGTACACGTTCAAGGTAAGGGCTATCTTGTGGAGCTGAGAATGCCTGGCTCTAACGCTTGGTAGATTTCATTCGTCCCAAGAACCCCACCGGCGTCAAGAATCGCGAAGTTCCTTTGCGCGAGTTGGTTGACCCTGCCTATCGGGATCCCAACAAGGTCATGAATATGTTGGACGCCCCGCAAGCTCACCCGCTCGTTCAGATTCCGCGTCTAAGGTTAGTTAGCTGAATGTCGCTTTTGTGCTGGCTCTCACGCTTCTCTCCAGCGAGCTTGATTTCGGCAGTCTTGCTGTAAAGGCTCGACAAGAGATGCTTAAGGATGTGGCGGGCCCCGCTGAATACGCTCTGCTGCACCGTATTATGGCTGGTACTGGGTGGTCCATCATATCCCAAGCCCATTCTACGACGCTCGGCCACATCGACACCGCGGGCGTTTATACGGCCATTGTTATCCTCGACGGCATAAAGTACTGGGCCATCCGCAAGACTGCCTTGGACGGACGCGACGAGATCGACGTGGAAGACACTGAGTATTGGGTCGACCTCAACAAAAGGGACTTTGATACTTTACCCGGTGGTCGTGACGCGTGGGTGGTCCTTGTACTGTTCCCCGGTGACATTCTGTGAGTTCCCTGTTGGTTTCGATGAACCTTTCTGACCGTAAACGTTAGCATTCTTCCCCCTTGCGCCAGGCATGTTGTGTATGCTCTGGCTGACACGATGATGTTTGGCGTACACTTCTACAGCCACCTGTCCCTCAAGCGCTCCTTGTGCGGCTTCGCCTGCACGCTGTTTGCTGGATCGGCGGTGACGAACGCGAGCCACTTCGAGTTCCTGTCCATGTTCCAGGCGTCCGCTACGCTTTGGGCTCCGGCTTACGACGTTGTTCTCCGTGAAGGGATGTTGGACGATCAGCCTGGTGAGCACTCAATATTCTACTTTGTGATTCGCTGTCTAAGTCTATTCTAGCCTTTGTGACGCATCCGGAGCCGTCTACTTACCTCGGGCTCGACAACATCCTCGCTTTATCCGCGGCCCTCGTCTTCAACACCGCTCTCTCAGGAGAGTGTTCCGAGCCTAATACGATGTACAGCGACTTGTACTATCGCACGGATACGTTGAACTTCGCGTTCATGTGGGGGAAGCTGAGCGGGGAGGGATATCTTCAGTCCTCCAATCTGAACTCGGATATCTCCCTCCAGGCGACTCTACGCGACTTCCTGCCGGACGGTGAGGTCATCAACGATAGGTGGACATGTGCAGGTTTGGTCGAGGTCCTCCTGCATTTCGGGCGCGCTCTCGTGCATCTGGCCTACAGGTGGCGCTCTCTCCGGCCGGTCGAGGTTGTTCCTGGAGACGGTAGCCAGGTCTGGATCACACCGTCTGTTATTTATCGGCGTGTTGTCGATGATCTTGCGTTGGCTTTGTACATGCCGCCGGACCTCGTTGAAGCTCTCCTCGGGGAACGCAAGGCTTGCAAGAAGCTGCCGAATACGATGCTGTTCCCGGACGCGGAATGGTGCCCTGTTCAAGGCCGCAAGACTGATCCCTCCATGCTTTGGGCGATCTTCAGGATGGACGCGGCTAGCAAGTCCTCTCGCAAGCATAAGGGTGGCGTCGCGAAGAAGAAGAAGGTCGAGTCGGACTCTGAGTACGAGCCCTGAGGCTGTACGCGTGGTTATTGCGTTCTTGGACATTGTTGATCTCGCGGACTTGTGGAATGCTTCATTGAATCGCCTCGCACTTGTATATTAAACACTGCGCATCTACTTGTATTTGTATCAATCATCGTTACATGCTGCGCGTATCGGGGTTTGGCTGAATTGCTGTATGACGGGTCGAGGTATGTGTACGAGCACCTGGTGATATTGGCATGACGTTTAATGCCATATGTGTTGCGTTTTATGTCTGCTGCTTCCCGGTGATACTGGTATTTGCAAGAGGTTGTCGCTAGATAATCCCGCACGCCGGTATGCACGCTAGAACCAAATTGTCGTTGTATTACGGGTACTGTAAGCTTTACATGTGTTCAATCGTCGTCCCCGAATACCCTCAGACAGGTTTCACACTCCAAAGTCGTCAACGCCGGGGCGTTGTACCATCGCGATGGTACTCTCCCGCTTCGCAAGCACAGTAACATGTGTGTGTACGTTAGAACGTTGATAGCAGCTGTTGAGACAGTAGATCCGATAGCATCGGATCTGAAGTCATGCGTACGCATGTCGTACTGTGCGTTTGACCTGTGGAAGGCATCATATCTTAAGTTATCCTCCCACGCCGATGTGTTCTTGTTGATCAGATCCCTCAGCGCATTCACCCAAGTCCCCCACGCCGGTTGTTCTGTGCTCTCCCATCCGCGTCTGCCCGCCTTGCCGTTCCAACGTACTACTGCCAGAATCTCTTGCATCGCGTCTCTGGTTGCGCTCGTGGTGGTGTAAGGAATACCAGAGAAGCCACCTTCGTCGGAGTCGTTGATTATCTCTTCGGCATCGAAAGGTGGTGGACACCAGCGTCCGTCGACACTGATCTGGAGATCTGGGTGATACGAGGCGAAGTCGTGCAGTACATGTAGCTCTGCCAGCTGGAACAGCACGTATTGCTCCAGTTTGTTGTCACCGTCCATATTGCCTTGAAAGGCGCCAACTGGAGAGCATCCGATAGCACAACTCATGGTCCGAAGTGTGCCCTCTTTTTTACCCTTCCTTGCGCGATCTGACACGTCTTCGTTCATTGATCCCCATAAGCGCCTGTCTCCGGTTGGCCATATGCGGCTGAAAGGGTCGCCGCATCCTTGCCGTACGAGAATGTCGCGCCAGTTCTGGCTCTTAAGGTAGGCGTCTTTGGCTGTCAAGAAGTTGGCGGCCACCAGGACGGGGCGGATCACGAGTAGCTTGGAGATAAGGGCGGCCGTCTCAAGCATTCTGGGGCGACGCTCGTCGTTCGCACCCCAGATCATAGCAGGCGGAGGAAGGAGTATGCCTGTCGCTGAAGGTTGTGTGCGCAGTACGTCGGGTGTCAGTCCGCTTCGGAATACGTCGGACGGTTGAAAGAACGACATGTAATTGGGCGGGTCTTTGGAACTAGCCGTCTGTATCCATCGTGGATCGGCTGCCGCGATGTCGTGAATCTTGGTCTTTGCAGCGCCCTGTCGCCCTAGGCAAACGGTCAGTGCTTGCGCTTAGTGCAGCCTGGACCTCCTAGCTCTCTCACCTTCTGCTACAGCTCGGCGGACTTCCTTTCGCATAACTCGTTGAAGCAACCCGAGGTCTCCTTCTTCGCTGTGTCTCTCGCGTCCTCTTGAAGCCCGTTCAAACATCGGACCAGGTACTCGGGGCGGGTAGCACCAGAACGCTAGCGCACGCATTTCCTTGTCTGTTCTCATTAGCTCCTTGTATAGCAGACCGAACCGTGAACGTACCCTTTCTGTTGTAAGGCGTGCTTGTGGATGGGTCGCCGCTCTCAGGTATGGCTTTGTCGCTGCGGGCAATCGTCCAGTCCTCTTCTGCGACTATGCAGTACACGGGACATGGCAAGCTCATGAGCGCAGAGTGGCGCTGCCTGAGCTCGGAGTCGGGGGCCATCCAGTCTGCTTTAGAACCGTGTAGGTAGACCCCTCGATGCCTGTACTCGGCGTCGTTGTCCTCGTGTCCTAGTATCGCCTTGCCCCACAACAAGAACCCTTCTAACTCGAGGACGGTGCGTCTGAGGGCTGCCAGCTATTGCGCGAAGGCCCGTCTGGAGGTAACCCCGGCACGCATCTGGTTGAGTTGACTGAGGGCCCTAGCGACGCACTCGTCTGGCCAGACAATCTTCTCGCGCTCGAACCAGCTTGACTTTCTCTTTAGCTCTCCGGTCATGCTCTTGACTTCCCCCAGTGTTCTCCCCACGTAGTCTTTCAGCTCCTTCAACACCTCTTCCACCGTGTCCAAGACGTCCGGCAAGCCAGGGTGATGCTCGCGGTCTTTCAACATGTCTTGCGTAACGAGCGAGCAAGAGATGTGCCCTCTGTCTATCCGGATCGGAATGCAAGAAAGCCAAGGGGATTCCGGATCATACAGCTGGGGTAGCAGCGTCCATTCTGCGTCGTTCCAGCGGCCTTGGTCATCCGGTTGTACTTCACATATCTCGTCTCCTCTCATGAACAGTGGTCGGACGGATGTGCTTAGATTGCCTTGAAGTATCAACACGTATTGGCCGTCCTGGTATCCAGAAGCATAAGCCGACGAGTAGCCAACAGGGAAGGCTGGGCGGGTGGTGGCCATCGTGGTGGTGGTTTGAAGAGAAACGTGTGTCTGCTCTTCATGGGAAGGTTTTACTTTGATCACCTGCGAGATTCTTAGTAATCACATGTAAGTGATACCTCCGTCTTGGGGTCAAAGCGCTATGGCGTTTCTAAAGCGTTCGAGCGTTCAGCCTCGCTGTTGATGATGTATGCAGCATTATAATCTTAGAATATTTGTGCGCGGTCGTGAGTGTGAGATCACTGTGCCTGGTGTATTTTAGACTGCATATATTAGCCGATCCGGGATGGAATTACATTTTAGACTGGCGGTGACGAAATTTCCCACGGTCCGTCGTGAGCTCGACCTCACGACGCCGCGCCATTCGCCTTGCGGAGCATTCTGCCTCCCTTGTTTATATCTGTCTCTCCGCACCGTACATCATAGCTACTAGTACGACTCTGCACTACTGTAGGTATTCCCTAAGAACTTCACCCGCTGGTGCTTGCCCGATCTACGACTCTCTGTCAGTCTTGTTTTCGGGGCGCGATATGGATGTTTCACCTTCTAACCCGTTTAGCTCTGTTCCTCCTCCCAGCTTAGCACGTTTCGCCTTTTTCGTTTTACCGCCTCTGTGACCTTTTCTCCGCTTGCGCTTGCCGTTCTCATTACCGTCTTCGTCGGGTACTTGCTCTGAATTTGATATCTCCGGTCTCACGAGCGCACGCGTTGAAGATCCTTTGCAAGTAGAGCATTTGCAGTTTGCCAGGTAATAGCCGTCACGGCTGTACATGACGGTGATCTCCTCGCCAGCCTTGATGTCTTGAATGGCAACGATAGCACAAGCTCTGGTTCCTCTGACTGGTCCAATCTGCCTAGGTTCAGCGCGGTTTAGACTGTTGTGGACCTTGTCTTACCTGAGCCTTGGGGTTGCAGTCATGGTTACCTAGACGGAAGCAGGCCAGGATGCTGTGGGAGCCGGGCAGCCCTAACACCCCTGCGGGTTTCTCAATGATGGACGGGCCAGGTGGCTTGACGTTGTCGGCCGACAAGGAAGAGCACGTTGTTAAGATATACTCTCCCGCGTCTATGTCCTTCGTCGCATATAGTCCCAGACCGATCTCGTTTTCGAACTGCACTTTGCATACCCCTGCTTTCGATTCAGGCCGAAAGAGCGCGCCGTATCTGAACATTAGACTAACTTGCGGGTCAGCTTCAGTCTGTCCCCTCTATATATAGGGCTTTCGTACTGTTTCAGAGACCTCTCCCAGACAGGCCCCTTTCCGTGAAACATACAATATCCGAGCACGATCGAGGCACAGCGGTTTACAGTTGCGTTCAAGTTGTCCTCCGGTTCTGGGTGTGTCAACGCGCGTAGTTTGTTGCCGATCTCCAACAGGGTAGTGTCGGATATGCTATTGATGAACTGTATGGCGCTAGGTGCTGTTGACGCCATCTCTGGCAGCAAAGCTGCCCATCGTTGAGGGTGTAGTTTCAATTTGAACAGCAGTCTCATGAGGATATCGTCTGTTTCAGCGTAGATATCGTGCGGGAAGGCTTCGTTGTTTAGGCGCTCTATTTGTTGTACAGTGGGATTGTCGGATGGAACATCGGGATCCCATACAGTGCTATGAGTATACGAGACGTGTCGCCTGCTAGATCGAGTAGGGCGGGATCTGAGAGTCGTGTTCATGCTGTGCAACAGAAGGTGGTGGTTGCGGTTCAAGCGTGTTATCGGGGGGTTGTTCCTCGGATATTGCATGTGACAATGTGTAACGTGTATACATTCAATCTGATTACTACGGCTAATGTACATCATGTTCTATTTTCATGTATCCCGTCGGTCTGTGTGTGCACCTCAATACTGGTACCGTCTGTGAATAGCACGTGGAGACGTACGAAGCGAGCATTCCCCTATTCAGAAGATCCAGGCGTATTTGCTCTCTGTGCGTGACGCTAGGATTGGCGGAGGAGTTTTTTGGCAAATCGGCTCTGAAACCCTGGAAGGTGCGCTGGGGCTGGATACACAATAGGCCGCGATCTGTGCAGTATCTAATTTGCATGGTCAGGTAGTGTGTTTGGCTGCGATCAAACAAAGGCCTACTTGCACGCCGCCGCGGGTTCTGGTCTGAGACACTTCCGTTTGGCTTTCCTACAGTTGTAGCAAGACATCCCTGCCTTGTAGGTTCCGTGTGCCCATTTCTTCTCCCTCGGCTTTTCAGAGGGGATCGGCTCTGCCGATTTCTCGACGGATCCGTCTGAGTTCAAACCCTCGCGCGAGGGCCCAGCGAGATTGCTCTGTACGAGTATTAATGATCTTGATGAATGGCTGAGTGGCTTGGATCGCTAACCTCTTGCGTTGCAGCCGACGGGACCGCCGTCATATCACCTTGATGGGAGTTGAAGTCCAAGGAGCGAGGATCGCCGAGGCTGTGACCAAGCTCGCCCGAGCGTGACGTGGTCCATGACTTTACCACGCGTCTGATGTCTGCTCAAGCAGGTATACCGAGCGCTATGAACCGTAGACGTGCTATATCGGTGGTTGTGGTTGTGGCGCGGAGATTGCCCGAGTGCCGTGGGATTCTTAATCAAATTGGACGCGCAGATCATTTCGCTTAAGTACACACTCACTTGGCCGCCGGCGCAACTTGGCCGCCGCCTGCAGTTAACTTCCATCGTCTCGACTGTCCTGTTCAGATCTCCTGCTATACTTTGTTCAATGGACCCGTTTCAGCGTCATCTGAAGGACGGTTCGCTCTACAGGCCGCTTCCTGTCTTCATTGACGCGACTTCGCTGGAGGAGGTTTCCGTGGGCGAAGTATCTGAGCTCATCCGTGGTTGCACTTGCGCTGCTCGCGGCGCGCTCTGCGGCCCCCATCCCGAATGCACTTGCAATGCTAGCTCTCCTGCAGATGAAAGTGGTCTATGTGGCGATCTTGAGTGCGAGCCTTGCCGGGGAGACGAACGCGATCGTTGCCGGCGATTCCCAGCTTGCGAGTGTCGGCGTAACGTCGCCCAGTCCGAGTACTTTACCTGCATTTCGAGTTGTCACAAGTGCAGCGACGACTGCGAGACCATGGTGCGTGTATGGTGGATCAGGTTCGCCGGACGTCGCTCACATTCGGCTCTCAGTATACGCTGCAACCACAAGAACACTTAGTGTCAATCCAGTCAACGCCGAACAAGGGTTATGGTGCGTCATTTAGCATGATTACGATCATGGGAAGCTTAGCCTTCGTTAGGTGTCTTTGCCAAGGGTTGTATTGCGTACGGACAGGAACTGGGTGTTTACGCTGGGCGATTGATGTCTGGTTTGGAGGTGGCGGAGGTTGATAGGTGCGCGTCGGTCTCTATGACTTTGCATCCCGTACTAATGTGCTTGATAGCGATCTCCGTATTCAAAAGAAACACGCCGTTGGTGTCTCAGCGTATATCAAGCGACTGTCTACACCTCCTCCCGCCAATAGCGCTCCGCCTACCCGTCGCAACCGAGCCCGTCCGTACACGGCTATCTTGGCAGTCCGTCGCAGCGGGTCCTGTATGGAGGTACTAGTCGATTGGGAAGGCCATCGAGTGCCGTCGTGGACCAAGGCGACCAAGGCGCACCTTCGCTCTCTGCGTATTCAATGCCCGAGCGATGGAGCGGGTCTAGGGCCGGACCCCATGTACTCTGCTCCGGGTTTCTATGACATGTACATTGGGGATTTGCGTCCTGTATACTGCTGCTTTGACTGCAGCAAGTCCATCGACGGTTTGGCGTACGATTCGCACGTTGACGCCTCTCATCTTGGGAACGTAAGCCTGGTGACCGCTATGTTGTTATATGATCCACTCTTCTGACGCTGGCCCAGTTGACAAGATACTTCGTGCGCTTCTTTATGCACCGCCTTTATCACACGTCTGACGTTCTCGCAGAATCATAGTTGCAAGCCTAACGCCGAAGTTATCAGAGTGCGCGTGGGCAGTCACTCGCACGCGTTTGTGTTACCGTTGGTGGTGGGGAACACGCGGAAGGGCATATCAGAGGGCGAGGAGATCACCATCTCATATTGGAGCGCCGCGTCAGTATGTGATGTGAGTTTGCTGGTTATCCGATTCCTGAGTCGGGCTATGCGATGCTAACTTTTGATAGAAGAAGCGCCAAAGGTTGAAGGAGCGGCGCGACCGGGCTGGGCAGTCACACGAGCCTGACTACTGTCAATGTGGCAGCCATACCTGCTCAGGCTGGACCCGTCTGCCTCCTCGCGACGAGTTGAAAGCCGTCGAGGTGTCCAATAAAACGATAGAGCACTTGTATTCTTGATTGTTCTGTGTAGGCGTGTGTATCCTTCACAGGTTATTCACGACTTGATCGTGTACTATACTACAGCAGTATGTATTCTTCTGACGAGCTTGCTGGTATGCAACTAGTAGTAATGTAACTGGGCAAGCGAACGTAAAGGCATGAGGTCGTGCAAGGTTCGACGCGCCAAACTCGTTTGGTCATGTGATCGCGTTCGACGCGACTTGCGAAGTCTGTGGCGCTGGTCGCTACTTGCTCTTGACTTCCATCGCGGCGAACCTCTTCGATTTCGCAGTGTACACTCCGGCCCATCGAAAATATGGATATCAACATCGCTGTTTCCGCAAGATTATTCGGTAGCTCCGTGTACGCGCTTCAAGTACAGCGCATTAAGCACCCCATCTATCATCCCCCTCCTCAACTACCGCCGCTACTCCGCACTCTCGAGCTAAGCGCGTCGTTCTAATGCAACCGCTGTCGTGACTTGGTGTCATGCGGTGGGCTGCTTAGATCGGGGCGTTTTAGTCTCCCAGCCCGGACGTATACGCCTATTGGCGCCTGTGGTGGAGAGTTCACGCTCTCCATCAGGTCATTCAGTTTAGCAGAGGTTAGAGAGGACGGGTGTAGGCCGTCGGTTCAGGTGCGTGTTGTATTAGTGTTATATACTCGCAATAGTGAGTTCTGTTCTCCACCGGATCTGTCTGGTGCCCCGCGGCTTCGAATTTCCTAATAGGCTCATAAGCCCGTCTCCCTGGGTTTGACTTGATCTCAGTGGGGTGTATTGGCTGGTCTTGGAGCCGATTCAAGCGCACGGATCGCGTAGGCGCTCAGCAGTGAACCACTGGCGCTGAGCTGCTTGTTTGACTTTGCTGGTGCTTGGCGTCACCGCGCTTGCATCGCTTGTCGAACCGGCGGCTCGGCCTGCATGTTGTAGCTTTGCCAGAGTCTGCTGAAGTGTGAGGTGTCTTGTCTGTGCGCTTTAAGACCGGCTAGTTAGCTGGACGCGGTGGAGCGCGGCTTTCCAGGTGCACGCAACTGTGTCGGGTTCCTGGATAAGGAATCTGCCGCTGCCGAGTCGCGCGGGTTCCTGTTCGCAGTCTGGTTGACGTGCGCTTGCATCGACGGCTGCAAATCCACATTCATTTGCATCCGGCGATGCAAGATTTTGATGCGACGGGTTACGCCTGTCTCTATCTGCGCTGGGGATCGGTTCTCTTCTATCGTGTATCCTTATTGCGAGTGTGCGAGTTAACATAGTCAATCTAGTAATCTTCGTGCAAAGGCGCAGCGGGGAGACAGTCCCCTAACGCTTTCAGGGGGTATTCCGCGTCGGGCGTGCGTGTGCCCTCATCGACGGGACCAAAAATCCCTTGCTTATAATGTCCCGGCGGGCAAGTCTCGTATCTCTGTGAATTTGCCGGACCCACGATGACTGACCTACCCCTAGAAGAGGTCGTCTTTCCTGCTAGGGCGCGACGGGATGCTTGTCTACCCGTTCTCAAGCGCGTTCGATCCGGCCACGTGCACCCTCTACGTGCCCACTGCTTCGCCCTTTCACGCGTGAAGTTCACTCCCGAGCAATTAGAAGGAGTAAGGGCTCTTCCGGATACCTGTGCGACGTACGTCTACCAAATGGAGTCTGCCGTCCACGACATCAAGAAGCGCCATCAAGACTCGCGTTCGATCAAATTTGACAAGCCCATGGCAGCGGGTTTACTCGATAAAGGTCGGTTCTTTTACTTCAGTCGTTTGTACGCCGACTCAGGTTTGTGTTAGGCTTCCTCGCATTGCAACACGGCGATGCGGTCTTTGCCAGGCCTGCTGGCGGTAAGGTCAATGGATCAGACGACGTCTTACAGGTCGTTGTGCTTGGCAAGTAAGCGTGAGGTTTTATTGCTGTTTTACTGCGATCTGACTGTTCTCAGCAATCAGATCGTTTCTGTTCATCGTGACGCTTTGCTCGCTGCCAGAGACGAGATACTTGGTCCGCTTAGCGAGCGCGGTCCCTCTGTCCCTGTTGCTTCTGTCGGTGGAACTGCGTTTGAGAGGTCGGGTTATGCCGATCCTATTGAGCATGGGGCTCGAGCGTATTCGATCCTTACCTCGGAACAAAAGGCTAGAGGTCGTATCGTAGGTCCTGGCGTGGCCTACAAGGTTCGCTGTCACTTTGATTCTATATTGCATCTGATACTGACATAAGTCGCAGGTGCGTCCGGAGCATCGGGATTGGCCTGGACCAACTATGCGTGCCAACGCTCTGAAAGTACGTATAACCTACATGACCTGCCGTTCGAGCGCTGATGTATACGTTTTCCCTAGGCAGCTGTGACGGCAGGTATCGCCGCCGCCCGTTACCTCCCCATCGCATACCAAAACGCTCTTCGCCTGCAAGCAGACTTGGTGAACGCGCCTCGGTTTGGTTGCGATCACAACTATCTTTTCAGCTCCGCTCAAATCAATTTGGCGAGGCCAGTTCCATATGATCACGGTGAGCGTTTAGCGTGTCGGCGAGGTCCTGCGCTCATGCAAGATTGCAGATAGCCAGTCCCTGCGAGACTTGGGCAGTTTTGGTATTCCGCATATTGATCAGGGGGATATGCCGGAAGGATTCACTGCTTTTCAAGTTTGCTCCGATTTGCCCGCGTCCATCGATCCAGGTACGCGTATTGCGTTGTTTTGAGTCGCTTTGCTGATCGCCAATAAGGGCAATTCGTTATCTTTGAACTCGGTGTCTTCATCAACCTTGACGGCATTGTCATTGTTCTCTTTAGAGGCGTCCAGTACCACGGGGGTTGCGCACCTCGTCCTAGATCTCGCAATGTTGTCATTCCCGACGGAGCGTATCGGGTCGCTTTTGTGACTTACGGAAAGGCCGCGGTGTACTTGGGGCTCGGAACTTACGTACTGGGCTCTCTTAGAACTGTTAGACAATCGGTACGCCTTCATCTTTACATTAAGTCTTGTTACCCGTTCTGGAACTGAATTTTTTTGGCGTGCAGACTACGCTCCCGCGTCGTGCCAAAGTTCGTTCTCACCGAATTGATGATGCGGACGCATCGTCTGAAGCCGAGAGTGCTGCGGTGGTTGACGACGATGTGTCTGGCTCTGGGTCCATTGGCGACGTGTCCCGCAGGTATCTGACGATTGGTCCAGATATCTTGAACAAGTGCGTACTGTTCTATACCTGAGTGGTTGATTGTGCTGAGTTTCGCGCGTATAGTCCCGAAAGCCGTGCTCAGGAGTCTTGGATAGCCCACCCTAATTTCGCACGAGACGCCTCGGACATCATGTCTGCCACTGCGCTTGTCACATTTTTTGTGCGCTCTTTGTATCTGTTGGTGGTATTCGTTGTCCGACAGTTACGAGGCGCTTATGAGGCAAGTCCCATATTGTCATCGGCGCTCTCTACCTCCAACACATATACTAGGTGAAAATCGACTCTGCAAAGTTCTTCTCGGCCTTTTCTTATCAAGACGCTTCGGGTACTCGTCAAGTTCTGACCGACTGGGCGAATGCTCCGCATGTCAATGGTGCGTCGTTTAGAGCGTCTCGAGTACTGATCTGACACCGTCGCCAGATGTAGATGCCAATGAACCCCGACGTTCAGCCGCTTCCGAATGGAAGAAGTTCTCGAGCAACGTTACGCGGGTTATCCCTTTCTCGGTGATACAACAAGATACGAGAAACAAGTTGATTGCAAAAGGGAAACCAGTGCCGCGCGTATTCGCTGTCCATGATGCGGTAGAAGCCGACGCCGGGGACGGCGCTGAGCGTCCTCAAACCGCTTATTTTGCGCCAGGTGCGATTCAACGTGACGTTTTGTGCAACGTTGCTGATCGCCGCTTGTATACAGTGAAGAAGTTCAAAGCGGCAGAGCAAAAGACTATCGGAGGTGAGATCAGCGTCTTACCTGCTTGAACGCGCCTAACGCTCCCTGCGCAGGTCGGAGGTCGAAGGCCGGCGTCAACGCTTCAGCAGCAGGGACCTCTCGAAGTGCAGGTCGGAGATCGAAGCCAGGCGTTGATACGAGTACGTTGATTGTGTCGATGCGTCCTTGTATGCGTTTAACTCTTTTTCAGGTTCAAACAGCGGGTCTGACCATGAGGAACTGGAAGCTGACGGCCTTCCATCTGGTGCGTTCATGCGTATCTCTCATCTGTATGAAATATTCACTTTGTAACTGGCAGGTTTCCGTCGTTCACAGCGACTTATGTCGAAGCAGTCTCCCGAGCAAGATGAGGAGTCCGTTGTTGAGACCAGTGAAGAGTCGTCGCGCCCTGCGCGCAAACGACCCCGGTTGGGTGGGGTTCGGAAGCGTGCGTCTTATCACTGGCCATGTGTCGGTATCTCTAATGCGTCCATTCAGGTAAACGGCCCATACCAGAAGTCGCGACGGATGAAGAGATCGGTTTGTGCTCTTCTTCGTCCGGAAACCCGCTGATTTTGCTGACCTATGTAAATCTTACAGGCACAGAAACTCTTTCCCCACGCAGTGCGAGCAAGCCATCGAGTTCAAGCGGCGTAGTCAACGAGGAGTATCTCTGTTGGCTTCGTCGCCTCCTGGGCGAACATCCTCCCGGCACTGTCCGCGTCGAATTACTGCGGGCGTTCCAGCAGTCCCACCAGCCTCTCGTTACCAGCCTCACCTACGATATGGACGATCGTGTGATATGTTCGTCTTGGTCCAATCCTTTGAACGGCCCCGTCTCCGCTTGGGAAGCTGCCGACTCTCCTTGCGGGAATGTTGAGAGCTTGCCTCTTCACGGTCAGTTCCTGTGCATGTCTTGTCATGCCATGTACTGAACGTTTGCAGCTCGTAACCTGTTTTCGGGCGACGCTTTGGACACGGACTTCGTGTCCGCTTACTACGAGTCCGCGACTCTTCTACCCATGCAGGTAGATGCGCTCGACCATTTACCGAGCTACATGGCATCTGCATTGCTACTGGGCGTACCGTTCGAGGCTCAGGCGTCTCTCACAGCTGCGACGTCCGCGTGGAGAGGCTTGGACAGTCTGCGCGCGCAAGTGGCGAAAGACAGTCTTCTCGACCGGGCCGCCGCTGCAACTTTGATGGCTTATGAAGCGTTGCTGTGCATATCGCTGGAATCGCTCGCCACAAGCTATTGTCGTCGTGACATGTCCACAGGCGATTCTCAACTTCTGGGAGTTAGTTCGTCACTTTGGTCGAAGATCTCTCAGAAGCGCGACGTCGATCCGGCGACCTTTATACTCGATGGGCGATCGTACACTGTGCATGCCCCAATGAGCTCGCGGTCAGTGCAGTCTGACTTCGCCCGTCAACGCATTGTCTACAGAATGCTGTTTGATCTTTTGGCAGCACGCATCGGCGTATTAGATTCCTGCGCCTTCCGGTTGCGCTCGTGGTTCGTATGGGCCATTATCGACATTCTGGGTTTTGAGGGATTATTTCATGCGCCCGTATATTCTGCTTGGGAGTTCCCATACGCTAGGCTTCTACCCGCGCGGTCGACAAAGGATCCAACGCTTGATTTCCTGCTGCCTTTAGTGGGGCATCTCAGCCAATGTCACGACGTCGTTGACAAGCCGCTCGCTGCACTCATGACTTTGAGCTTGGCTGTGTGCACTAAGGAGGAGCGGGATCGGGCTCTCGATGCCGCGAGGCTCGCGGCCACATTCACCAGAGACGCTGTCGGATTTCAAGTTCGCCCGCCTATTGTGTACCCGCCTCAAATCGCTCAGGTCCATCGCTCACTCGCCGTTTTGAGCGCATTGATTGGTTTGTCATTTATAATGTTCATGTATTCAGGACTCACGTATTTGTAATAGGTCTGCCGCACGACGACAACGGCGCGGTGGATATAACCGGAATCGGGTCTGTCACCCTTGATGGTCAGGAGGTTCCCTTACGCCCTGAGGACGCGACTTTGCTCGGCGCGGCCGCCCAAAATCTTGACAAGTATCTACCCTTTCGATACCATGCGCCGTCTGCCAAAGCACTACGTGGCTTGGTGGCTCCCCCTCGAATGCCCAGCATGTGCACGGACCTCGGTCTCAAGAACGTCGTTGCCATCCGTTACATATCGTATAACGCGCCGTTTTTGTTGTCGGGCGAGCAACAATTTGCCAACCGCGTGCAAGATCTCGTCGACGCGTTCGAAAGGACACCGATCCGGCCCAAGAAGTACTTTCTCGTCGATAACATCTACGGTCAGAACCGTTCGCGCTCCCTCGATCGTCTGCCCTCCGTTTGGGATCGGTGTCGCTGGCCTCGAGAACTGGGCAGGGACTTCTTTTCAGTGTGGCGCGCTTTCGCTTTCGGTGTCGATAAGGCGCAGAAGTACAAGATACCGAATGTTGGCCCGTTGCTGTCTCTCCAGATCTGCGGTACGCTCTCTGTTGTCGGTTTGTCATCAGTTCTAATCACTCCTTAGGCGACTACTTCTTCACCGGCCACTTGAACGAACCGTCCGTCTTACAAATGGGCGAAATTATCTTCAAAATCTACGCTGGCGGCATTAGCGGCTTGGAGAAGATGGGATTCCTACCCACGTTGCAAGGCAAGCGCGGGTCGAAGGCAAAGCACGAATTGGGCACTGTGCAAGACGCTTTCGACAAGTACTACAATTGGTCTCTGGTCACATTCAGCGTATCTGAGCGGGATGCGTGGAGATGGAACACGATCACGGCAGAGAATCACCTCTGCAAGCACAGTCGTCTGTATGAGCACATTAAGTGCTTGTCAACTGAGCGCACTTAGCCCGGATCTTAATGTACGTCCGCCCGCTTTATATGAGTTCATTGATTGGACAATAACCGCTGCTTTCAGACTCTGTACATCTATGTAAAAGTCAATATCGACATGCGTATGATTTGATCTTCATTATTGCAACGCCGACGCGAGGTCATCGTACTCATACAACAGTTGTGCGTCACGGGCAAAGGTGTGCAATTACCGTCGCGAACGCAGCTCTTCGCGATGCTCGTTGACCGAGGCATCTTGCACGCGTTACAATGCACGCTCACATATCCCGAGGACGAGCCTTCGGGCTTGCGACCATTGCTATCGCGGGCGAAGTTCTCATGACGCTGCTTGATCATGACGTGAACGGCGTGCGAGAACAGGTACTACGGCAATGCGAATACTTTGCTAGCCGTGGGGGAACCCGATCTGAGCTTGCTCTCGCTTCTTCGCAATCGTCTCGTGGCTGCCTACTACACCCTCACGCGTTCTCTATAGAAACGCTGATCGTCTGGACGGAACCGAACGGCGTCGACTATGCCCTCAGCTTCCAGTACCGGAAGGTTGCGCGATGTTGAGGAGTACTTGAGGCTCGAAGCTCGCCTACCCCGAACACGTCACACCCTACAACATCGCCTACCTCCAAGAGAGAAGTACTTGAGGCTTGAAGGATACGCAGGCGAAGTCGGCGGATCCGTGGGATCCGTAGGTGGGTGCTCCCCTCCAGTAAGGGGAGATCGAAGACTGAAGTATACTCACAGGCTGGGCAGTACGAGGGTGATGTTGAGACGAGGCCGCAAACGAGGCCATGCTCATCGCACGTGCAGAGTCAGACTACTCCTCCCTCGTCCTCCAGACCACAATCCGCTCCTCGGACGTCTACCAGCGATAACAAGGCATGTACCCGGTCTCTGCCTGCCTGTCTACTACACCCTCACACGTTCTCTATAGAAACGCTGATCGTCTGGACGGAACCGAACGGCGTCGACTATGCCCTCAGCTTCCAGTACCCGGAAGGTTGCGCCGAAGTCTGGAGTTTCATTACAGTGGCGCAGAGGATGCATTCACAGTCAGGTTCGCCACTCTCGCTCCCCCACGCAATATCTTTCCTGACGTCTATCCGGAAGAGCAGGGCGGTCCCTCCTCACCTTTCTCAGGCGAACCTACGACAATCACCACAGCTCAGATCATCCGCTCAAGACACCTTCCCCATCCCACTCTAAGCATCATCCCGGAGATCGACCGTACATTCAACGCGCCGTACGTCTCGGCCTTCTCGCCCGCCACACACATACACTTAAACTTAGCGTGCTTGCCATTCCCACGAATATGTTAAGGTTATGACCGACGTGATGCACTACGCGGAGAATCTGGAAAGCCTCGAAAATCTGCATCCATTGTGTTCGCTCACGCAGACCATACGTGCGTTCGCAGCCCATCCGATCGACGCCACCGGCTCACATGTCCCCCTTTTAGTCACGATGAACGACCATGGCATGTACAGACATGTCCTCGACGACGAATTATTCATGGGCGTCATGGGCATACTCAAGTATGATCCCGAGTTCCCCAACCACAAAGCCAACTATCGCCAGTATATCCGAGAATCCACCCTCTTCTATGAGCCTATTGCGGTGCACAATCTCGCAATCCGCAGAAAGATCCACCAGACATACAGGCTAGTTCTTGAAAGACGTCGTCCTAGCTCAGGCGCTAGACGAAGCACTTTCAGCGTTCTGAACAGCTGCATCATCTTCAACCAGGTCGACGGCATCTCCCATATACAGAATGACGAGACATTCCTCCGCGACATCGCCCGCCTCCTCGTCGAGGGCGAGCCTATACCGCCTTTGCCACCACCGCCACCACTCCTGGATATCGACCGCCCCGAGTCAGTAGAGGGTGCTCCACCAAAGAAGCCAAACAGAGTGCCGTCGCATACACCACCAGGCGTCGTTTCCCTTGACCACCACGAGGACGAGGCGGGACGCGCGGATACTGCATTATTGCAACGCCGACGTGAGGTCATCGTACTCATACAACAGTTGTGCGTCATGGGCAAGGTTGTGCAATTACCGTCACGAATGCAGCTCTTCAAGATGCTCGTTGACCGAGGGATCTTGCATGCATTACACTGGGCGCTCACGAACCCCGAGGACGAGCCTTCGGGCTTGCAGACCATTGCTATCGCGGGCGAAGTTCTCATGACGCTGCTTGATCATGACGTGAACGGCGTGCGAGAACAGGTGCTACGGCAGTGCGAATACTTTGCTAGCCGTGGGGAACCCGATCTGAGCTTGCTATCGCTTCTTTGCAATCGTCTCGTGCGGAGCACAGACCTTGCAGTGCAAACATTGCACTGCGACGCGCTCCGTGCCCTTCTGGAGATGCCAAACGAGGGCAGTCAAGAGGCGATCATACCGACGACGCTTTTCTCGCGCATGCGTGACGAGGGCAAGACGGAGAAGTTCTTCGACTACTTCTACCAGTCGTGTATCCGCCCACTAGTCGAGCCCATTATGTAAATCCCCGCACATAATCAAGCTGCTGGCGCTGTGGTTGAGTTCGTCGCTGCTCTGGGAAGGGAGAACACGAATTTGTATCTGTCGCTGTGCAACTTGCTCAGCGGCTTCGTTGTCCGACACTCATTTCGATCCCATTTCTTCATGCTCACTTCATCCGCATCCGGTCACATCGCCAGCTTGCTTAATTCAAGAGACAAGCATCTTCGCCTCGGTGCGTATGGCTATCTTCATGCAGTGAGTGGCGGTCTGAACCTCGGTAATCTTTTCTGCTGTCGTGTGACTCATTAATTCACGGCGTCGAAGCGGTAAGCGGTGGATCGATGTCATTAAATGTGCGCTAATTTAAACTGGTCCAGAGTATTCTATCGCCTGTTAACGTCACGACTCGACAAAAGGCCCGCCGGGCAGATAGAGCATCCCATCCAAACTGACGTCCCCGTCCTTTGCTGTCTCTGTCTCTTTCCCCTTTCCCTTCTCCCGGCCATTGAATTCCTCCCATCCAGATGCGACGAAACGCTCAGCCTCCTCGAATACGACCGGAGTTGGCTCTTCTACCATGGAAGCGTCCCCGCCATTCTGAACATCCTGCGATGGTGTGAAGGTACGGTTGAAATCGCTAGACGGCTGAATGATTGTGCCAGAGGGACCAGCTCCGCCTAGCAAGTAGGTGGTGAGCTCCTGCTCGCGCTGAAGCTCCAAAGCTCGTTCAGCGAAAGCGATGTTCTACACCGTGGTCAAAACTTGTCAAGGTGAAGAAAGTTGTTCTAAACTCACCGTGGCGACCTCAGTGTTGATGATGACAACGGACTTCATGTCCATGCGCAGCGCCACGTCGTTGCCGGCCGGCACAATACGGAAGACCACCTCGACGCGTACAATCTGACCCTGACGGAGGATCTCAGGAAGCACGGGATCGCAGCGATACCTTCCAGCTCTAAAGAAATGTAGTGAGTGGCGCTTTCTCAATAAAGGTTTCGCGGATGCTCACTCGTGAGTGGGATCAGCAAGCCATACGTCCAGCAAGTTACGAGAAGTGACGACGTGGCCCTTCCGTTCAACGTAAGAGGACGCAACTCCGCGAGGATCCAGGACTGGCGGTATAGATATGATCTTTTCGTGCGGCAGAACGTGTTCTGGGTGAGTGGAGAAAGGCAAGCTCAGACAGATGGTGTCCTCGCCGGCGACCGTGTAGTTGCGGAAAGCTTTGAGTCCGTTCTGGCGTGTGCGCAAGCTGGCCATAGTATGTATGTTCTGGATACCTTCCTTGACGCGCTGAGTCTCGGGCAATCCTAACGTCGCGAGGATAAGATGCTGAGCGCCGCTACGAGCCCAATTCTCGTTCCGGTTAACGCTAACGGTTTGTCAGAGATGCTTGAAACTCGTATGCGTAAGGACAGCACTCACTCGTGCTGGAACAGAAACGGCATAACGGATAGGTGCCAAACCATGGCAGTGAAGCACGTAGACGCCTCGCGAAGAGTCCCGCGCTCACATAAGATGGACGTCTTTTTGGCGTGGTCGTCGACGAAGTAAACGTGGTCCTGTGCGAAGTTGCGCTGAATGTTATGAGCGCTGAGGTCAGGCTTGCGAGAGGAATAAACACGTACGTCCGCGTAATGTTGCAGATTCTTGTGAACGGGAACTTTCAGCATCCCCTCGGTCATAGCGTCCTGAGCGATTGACATGTTCTTAGCCTCATACAGACGCTTCTGCTCTTCGGAGAGACCGTCGACGCGTTTGACGTATTGGGTACTGGACATGGACGATGATAGCGGATAGGCAACAAGGATGGTGAGTGCTTGAGCAGATTTTAGTGCCGAAAGAGCTGAAGGAGCTGTAGAACGTCGCCCTACCACCGTCACCTAAGTACTCGATCCATGCAGCACTGTTGACATGTCGATGTGTCGCTTGGCGGACCCGACTGTCCATGGGACGCGTGCAGCGGTGAGTAATCGAGGTCGGGCAGCCTGCTACGCGTTCTCCTGACCGAGGTCTTCTTCGTTACCGTCTGTGCCGGTGAAACGCGATGGCTGATCCTTTCAAAATCAACTAAGCCGCCGCCGCGTCACTAAGCCGCCGCCGCGCCACTAAGCCGCCGCCGCGCCACTAAGCCGCCGCCGTGTCACTAGGCCGCCGACGCGTCGTACGACGATCGGTAGACCGGCCCTGCATCAAACTGCGCGGACGCGGTCAGGGTGCAGTTTTGTTGACCTAATACAGTCGCTTCTTTGATGGCTTGCGCCACGACGACTGTTGCGACGATCCCCAGATGTCAACATCCTGCACGTATGCTGTTTTGTCTTTCTTTCGTGGTCTGACCCCAAACAAGCGCAGATTGAAAGTTCATTGGTCCATAAGCCAAGCGCATTTGCTTAGAGTCGCGCACCTACCAGGGAAATTCAGATACTCGAAGACTTGGTTGGACTACCGTCATTAGACGGCGTTTTGCCTTCTAATAATGTTATTGTTGGTCAGAACCCCTTCGTACGAGGAAGTCCGTACACCTCGCGCATCCGTCCTGTGCTTTATCACTGCCTCGGTGAGAAGTTCGTATTTTCGTCTATCATTTGGCCTGCGACGCTGACACCTCTCACCCTTAGTTCCTGACTTGCCCGCCGGGTTGTCGCTGATTGGACCCCAAACGGTACAGGCTCGGTGCGTGGTCTCCGTCGGGTTGTTCCGGGGGCCGTCTTACGTCTTAGAGCCGGTCATCGGTCGCTTCATTTGCTAGGCAACAAGCTCTCGTTATCGACGAAAGGCCCGATTTTTCGGATCCGACATGGCCGCCGTTGCAGCAGTCTACCACAGCCTGCGCTTCGGCCTCGCAATTATCGTCACTTCTTGCTCACTCAGCGTACTCATGCCAGAATTCACCAAGTCGATCTTCTCTTCTTGAGAGTGAGAACTATAAAACAAAGGTGCTTGTACAAACCACGGACGATCTGCATCCTCCTCTACACACAGCGCCGCTCATCCGCACTCGAATCATCTATTTCACCTTGCCATGCCGCCTCGTCGCAACAACAAATCAACTCCTCAGGTCGCCCCCAAGGCGTCGTCTCCCCCTCCTGCTCGCCGTGGCTCTGCGCGTAACAGGTAAGTCAACTCCTCCTCCGCACACACCCGTATGCCCTCTTGCTAAGGGCTTCCAGGTCCGCTACGATCAAGAAGGAAACTTCGCCCACCATCGTCCAGTCCGCGCCGATGGATTCCGACGCCGTGTTCCAGTCAGTCGCCTCGTTTGCCGTCTCATTCCTTTAACTTACATCTTCTACCAGGTCTAAGGCTGGTGGCAGGGGTAACCTCAAGTTCAAGGCAGCCAAGTGAGCGTGTTGTGACGTTTTCTCCGAGTACTCCTCACCAACGTGTGTCCAGAGCCGACTCAATCACTCCCATCGAGATTGATGGCAGCGACGTCGAGGAGGTACCAGTTACCAAGAACAAGAAGAAGTCGGTATATCTAGTTATTTCTCTCGTGCTTGTTGCTAACTGGACGTGCCTTTAGACTTGCTCCGGTCAAAGTTGAGAAGATAGGCGGTCGCCGTCGCTCTCCTCCGTACGTCTCCACATCTTATGCGGTAAGTGTACGTATTCACAATATATTGCCAGCCGTCCCCGTCCGGTTAAGCCCCGCGTCAAGTGAGTCCTTTCTAATAACTTGATTAAGCCTAAACTAAATGCGTCCATTTGCGATCACAGGCCCTCTGTCAATCGCTCCGGCGTCGAGTCTTTTGACTCTGACGACGAACAGGTCATCCACCAGAACGCTTCGCCTCCTTCCATCCACGACGAAGGTTACGCTTCCCGGGACATCCACGACGAAGGTTACGCTTCCCGGGACAGCGACGAGGAAGATCCTCAGCCGGTCCCTCAGCCTAAGAAGAAGGCGTCTGTCAAGTTCAAGGCGTGGGAGGCGAGCGAGGAGGAGGTTGACGACAACGGTAACCTTCGCGGTTTCATCGACGACGAGGCGGAGGAAGAGGACGAGGAAGCGGAAGAGGACAGCATGCAGGTGGACGCGGTGGAGGTAGACCAGGGGGAAGAAGAAGAAGAAGTGGACTCTAGGTGCGTCTGTTACGGGTTTCCTTTCTTCGCAAGGGGTGCTGATATGGTTTCATAGCCCTATGCCGCTCAAGATTTCCAATCTCTCGAAGGGCGCTTCTAAGAAACGGTGCGTCTCTAGTCATAGCCGCGCGTACCCTCCTTTCGCCTGCCTGCTCAGTGCGTCTACTGCAAACTGAGAGTGACTTGGCGTCACACTCGGTCTGCTTTGGTCGCGCTGGGTGGTCAGCAAGCGAGGGATTGCAATGCTTGCGCTGACCTGCCACCTCAGGTCACAGAATGATCGTTCGTCGGGCGACGAGGAGTCCGCTCCCCGCAAGAAGTAAGTGCTTTGTTGGTCATAAGCATTCGTTTTTTGAATATATCTGCCCAGGCGCTCGAACGACAAGGGCAAAACTATCCAGGCAATCGGACATACGGCGCGTGTCGAGCTCAAATTCCGCAAAAAGGCTGGCAACAAGAAGACGACTGGCGCTATCATCAAACCCACCGGCTCCCCCGACTTCGACATGCGTGAAGGCAACTCCGTTCATTACGAGGAGCAGGAGGGAGAGGAGCAGGAGGAGGAGGAGGAGGAAGAGCAGGCTGAGGGTGTCGAAGGCGCTGACGGTCAGGAAGGCGAGGAGGAGGCGGGTGAAGGCGAGGATGTTGAGGTAAGCGTATGGCGATGTTGGCGGCTTACCTATATTAACAAGCTTTGCAGATGGAAGAGGAGGAGAAGCCGAAGAAGAAGGCCAAGAAGCCAAAGGCGCCTGAAGACGATGGCTGCGAGGTCACTCATCCGGACAAGCAGACGGAGCTCCTCAAGGGCACTTATCTCGGCTGTCCGCCTTTGGTGTAAGATCCGCTCGCTGTCCTGTGTGTGACAACCAACTCATCACATCCACAGGCACCCCAAAGTCGTCACCACGAACGACTTAGCCTCCGGCAACTTGAACGTGTTGACTGAAAAGGAGCAGTTCCACGCCGACATTTCCAAAGCGTACGAGCACTCGAATATCTTACTACACGAAATTGCTAACGCGGTCTTTTGTAGCCGTTTAATCGCTTGGTTCAAGACCATTACCGTGCCAACTGCCTTGATCACTCGTCCCTCTCGCGATCATCCGAAGCGCTTGTCCCTCAAGCAGCAAGGCCCCGCTCAGCTGATGGCTTTCAGCGGCTCGGATGGCGGGCAGGTTGCCGACGTCGTCTTCGACGGCTACGTCATTCGCAGCGAACTTCGCGACGGCCGTACCTACGAAGGCAAGCGCGGGAAGATGCAGGTCAAGGAGATCGAGATCATCCTGATAGCTCAGGAAGGTGACCGCGCCATTGCAATGCTGTCGATGGCCGGAGGGGGCAAGAACTTCCAGTTCCCGGTCAGTGAGGATGGCGGTATCGTCTTCTCAACCAAGCACACGGTCGTGGACGAAGAGGGCAATGGTCAGGAAAAGCGTGAGCGTTACAGTCTCCCGTGCGCTCGACTCGTCTCATGCTAATGCTTCTTCTCAGAAAAGCTGGACAAGAAATTCCTGTCGCAGACGGTTGGCAAGTCTCTTCCCACCTCGGTCGTTCACAAGGATATTGTGCGCCGCTCCCGCGAGGGCACTGAAACTGGTGCGCGTCTTCTCTGAGATTCAACTGGCAGTTTGTCCTGACGCCTTCTGTTCTTAGTTCCGGTTTACGACTGCGCCCACCACTTCCGTGTTGACAAGAAGGCGAAGCCAACGCGCTTCGTGCCGGAGGAGGTCTTGACACAGCGTGCGCGGGTCGACAAGCCGTGGACCAAAGAGGTGCCCCTAGGCTCATTGGTCACCGTCCACAGCACGGTCTCGGTATACAACAACAAGACCCTGAAGGCAAAGGTCATGTCCCTCAACCTTAGCGCTGTCCAGATCATTGCCATGCCCAAATTCGGTTAGATGTACAAAGCGGCGTCTGTGGTTGTAGCATACAGTATTAGCCCAGTTTCGGCAATAATATTGATCTTCATGCTCGCATTGCTGCAACCGCAGGAGACACGCTTGGTACGGTGACTGAAGCAAATGTATACGTTGAATGGGACGCTCTCTATCTTCATACAGCTCAAAATCGTACGTATAGCTTCTTCAGGCGAAGCGCTGGATACCACCGCGAGTTTCCCTGGCTGTAACCCACTTCCCAAGAGCTTCCTCGTAAGTATCGGCGCCTTCGTTGTAGAACTCTCTCGCGGCTCCAGCGTTGGACGCTTTCACGTCATCCCTATGGTACAGTTAATTGAGCGAGCGCCAGCACTTATAAAGCGACCTGCTCACCAAGAGGCGTAGATGCCCGGGTTCCTCGACCTCGGGACAAAGTACCAGTTGCGCTTGCCCGACGTACCTCGCACGGCGTTGACGGGATGAGGGAGATTGGCAGGAAGGTAACCCTGCCCTCGATCGGGCGGTGGAGCATAGTTCACAGGTAGAGAGCTGACCGGGCCAGAGGAGGAAGGTTGATTCAAGCTATGATCGATGATGTCGCGTCCGGTTTTCTGGTCCTCTGACTTTACCAAGCCGATCACGGTTCTCGAACTGGCGGCGGACGTGGAGGTAGTGCTGGAGCGCAGGCCCCTTGGAACAGAGATTGAATCCGTTCGCCTAGCTGGTGGCGACAGAGGAGGTAGAGCGCGACTGGAACGAGATGCCTTCCAACGGCTTTCGCGTATGACCATAGCGTCAATGTCCTGTCGCAGGCTACGAGTGTAAGCGGAGCGCTAGCGTGTCTGTGAGTATGAGCCGTAGTTTCCAGATGTGCGCTCACCTCCTCTGCAGATGCGCCCCCAATGCACTCCACCCGTTGGCCGACGGTCAGTTCACGGCGCCAATGATCCAACGCGACTGCCTCTGAGTCGAAGCACAGCACGAGCGAATCCTCCAACCCATGCGTGGCCAAGATAGCTCCAATCCTGTCTCTGATCAGATATGCTGTCCTTACAAGATTGAGTGTCTCACTTATTCGTGCATCCGGGCTTATAGCCGCGCAGTACGACGAACAAGTCCCGCTGCTCGTCGGCAGCTCCGTAGTATCGAGAGAGATCAAAAGAAATGCCGTCCTCAAAATTCATGTCGTGGTGAGAGTAAACAAGGTGCACGGGCCACAGATAGAGGCACGCGAGCTATCTTATGATCTTGGCTTCCAATCAGTCTTACAAACAGAGATCTACCTTCATCGGTGAGAGCCTTCCGGCGGCAAAGTTCCTTGCCGCCATCAAAGACTCTGATGCCATTTTAGGAAGTCGGCACTTGCACGAGATATCCGCTCGGCGTGGCGCTCTCAGACACGGGAAATGTAGAGCTGCACCATTTGCTTTCCAGAGCACCATAGACATTGAACATACATTTAGTGGAACGACTTTCCCACGCATCGTCGGGAGGTCGAGCTCACGACGCGTCTGCGGCAAAGTCGACCATGTGATTTACGGAATCCACGTGGTCTCTGTGTTCGAATTCGCTGGCATTCGGGTTTTCTAAGAAACCATCATGCGCCTTCTACAGCTGCCATTACGCCAGCTCTTTCATTGTGTTCGATACGGACACTCTGTCGACTGGTTGCTTAATCAAGCATTACCCATCGCCTACCCTACCCACGTCGGACAGGAAAACCAGTTCTACGTCGCCCCCTACATCCACGCAGAGCAGGCCTTAATAGCCATGCCGCGCGTCGCCCCTTATACCCACCAAGCAAAGCAAACAGACACCTTGTCTGTTGCTTGGCATGCTTGCCAGACCTACTCGGTCTGGCAAGCGCCTTGCATAAGCATTCCGTTCCTGCGGCTGGTCCATAACTACTGTACTCACGCGCATCTACAATCCGTCAGACAAAAAGCTCTAGTACACACTTATCCCCAAGCCACCGCGCTACCCACTGCCGCCGCGCATCACAAAGCCACCGTGCACCAATCTGCCACCGAGCGTATTCATGCCACCGTGCACCCCACTGCCACCGAGCAAACGTCCAGACCCAACAAAACCGTCGCTATCGCAGCACCTATCAGCTCTTGTCATGATACCCCTTCCAACGACCCCGTCTCCCGTCAGTACTCAAAAGCCGATTTATATCCCTCCTTCACGTGCCATACTGTCATTACGCCTACCGATATCCCACAACCCCTCAATGATAAACCTTGGTCTCCGTCAGCGATCATGGTGATCAGAGTGAATTCCAAGCCTGGTTTGGTGACTGAAGTATACATTGATGAAAGACGCTCACAATCAGTATTGTCTTGGAACTTAGCATCTCGCCTGGGCATGCCTTTTGAGCAAGGTATTGGCTCTGGTAAGAAATTGGCTAATCGCGCCAAACTAACGGTAGAAACTACTGATGGCTTTTGGGGTTCAAGACCCTTGCTTATTAAACTGCAGAAAAGACTAAAGGGTCGACATATCATTCTTGGTCGCGATTTCTTGAACAACAATGACCTTTCCATGGATTATATCCAAAGAACTTGCCGCTACAGCACTACTGCTTATGATATATTGTCGGGCGAGCCTATGCATGTAGCTCTAGAAGCTGAAAGCTTGAAGGTCGACCTTTCTTTGCCGGCAGATCAAGAGGAGCATCCCTGGCTTGCGTTCATGGAGCAACTACAAGATAGAATGTTGCGTCGTAAACAAGAGATAGCGCCATTCTGTGAAAGACCGGATCTCAACCCTGCCACTCGCTCTCATTACCAAGGCCTAGTTAAACAGCGCATCGCCTTCCTGAAAGTCTACGCCGACAAGACCCGGTTAAGGTTACCAGATCAAGTTGACCAGTTTGACACAGATGCTGAGTGTAGGTTACATCCGGATTGCTCCAGCATAGTGCTGTACGAAACGGATCTCAATGCAGGTCGGACGTGTGGCTCATATACAGCATCTTGGCGCCAGCTTCTCCGGAGTACTCGGCGCAAAAAGATCAGACATAGATGTACTCACGCCAACGACTTCGATGTATATCCCAAGATCAAAGGGGGTGGTAGGCCGTTAGCGAGTTGGTCAAGTACAGACCTTGCAAAGTTTGTACTACCCGGATATCGATGCATGGCGGGCAGGACATACACTCATGTCACACACTCAACAAACGAGTACCCCCCTACAACCTCCGACAAACAGGTATTGGCCGGGGTGAGCCTTCTTCGATTGAGTGATTCTGTCAGCAAAGGCGATCTTCTGGAAGCAATGGCAAGTCATAACATATATATGATGGCAAGGAACACCGCCAAGGAGCTGAGAGACGCCATTGTCAAACACCAGAATAGCCGACTACCTTGCTGCAAAGGTTGTGTATCCGTCTTTGAACTATTGCCTTCCGCTCTCATTGACGTCACAAATACCGGTAAGCGTAAGAGGACTGCTAATTCAGACTTGCCTAGGAAGCGTCACAAGTCAGAACAGACCAGTGAAAGAACTAAGCCGAAGATCGTTCAGGCAGACGTAGGAGGTGCTCAGCAGACAGACCATAGGGCATCGCGCGAGCCCACAAACAGTACAATTGCTCCACCGGTCGCGCTACCTCCCATTGAAAACGCTCCGGACAGCACACTAGAAAGTTTCCCACCGAATCCGCCCTCTGAAGAATTGAAACGCCAAATTATACGTGACTTCTGTGCTGAAATGACTGCTGATAACTTGATTGAAGACGGATGCGCCGTATGTGGTTGCCTAGCTCGTCGTGATGACATGACACTTCTCACAGATGATTTGTTCGACTACGACTTGCTAGTGGATCCAACTCAGAGAATGACCCGTGCAGAACGTCAATCGGAAGAAGACCATATCAGCAACATTCCAGGTCCTGTTATGGATCCGGACTGCGATCGGGTATGTGAGAAGTGTCTGAAGGATCTGAAGCGAAAGAGGTTGCCCAAACTTGCCCTTGCTAACGGAAACTGGTTAGGTCGGGTTCCGGATGAGCTTAAAGACTTGACCATACTTGAGCAGATGCTGATCTCACGTCTTCGCCATAATGCCTGCGTTCTCAAGGTACACGCGTCAGGACAGTACAAGATGAAGGCGAATGCCGTCATGTTCTCAGTTCCGATGCCTAAAGTATACAAGGTGCTTCCACCGCCGAGGGAAGAGATAGAGGAGATTGTGGCGTTTATATTCATCGGTCCTACAAGACCCACAGAAGAAATGCATAAAAGACTACCTTCCTTCGTTCGTAGGAATAAGGTCAGACAGGCGCTTGAATGGCTGAAATTGAATCACGAGGACTACAGTGATTTAGAGATCTCTTACGATAACCTAGACGAATACCCGGAAGCTGGTCCACCTGTGATAGAGGATTATCGCCCTGAATGGATCGAGAAAGAGTTGGAGAATAAAGCTGTGTACGAGTTGGAAGATTGGACGTCAGTTGAGGAGGGAAAATGCCCGCTCATCGTGCATACATTAACCTTAGACCAGCTGATGGCGACAAACGTAGACGTAAATGCCTTGAAGAATGCCGCAAAGCAACACTTACTCTTAGGCGGCGCAGCCATCGCTATCGGCAGATCGGCAGACCCAGAATCCATATATGCCAATCCTCAAATGTATCCGAAGGCGTTCCCGTGGCTCTTCCCATATGGTCTTGGCGGAATTGGGAACAAGAATGGGCATACTGTGGTGGGAGACCTCACCAGAAAGAGGGCTCTGTTGCTATACCATGACAAGCGTTTTCAAACAGATCCGATTTTCTCCTTAGTTGCACTCAATCATGAACAGATCAAAAGTAGCACTACCGGAAGCTTCGTCACTGTCAAGAAAGGCAATTTTGATGCGATAGCTAAACGGATCTTGAATGCCGATGTCGATGCTATGGACTCGGTCATACAAAAGTTGAGTAAAGGGGGTCAGTTTGACTTGTCTACTGATAGCGAGAAGATGTGCTTTGACATTATCAACGACCTTGACCACGTCGGCCAATTCGTTCAAGGCTCCAGGACAAACAAAAGATATATGAGAAATGAAATATGGTCTCTCATTGCAGCTCGCGGAGCTCCGTCTTGGTTCATTACCTTCGCACCTATGGATCACAGGCATCCTATCAGTGTCTATCATGCTGCGGAAGACAAAACAATCTTCCCTAACTTCGTCGACGAGAAGAAGCGAGCTCAACTTATAGGTAACAATGCAACTGCTTGTGCCCGTTTCTTCAACTTCATGGTAAAGGCGTTTGTCAAACACGTACTTGGCATGGACTCAGACCACGAAGGTCTTTTTGGGGAGACGGAGGGATACTACGGCACAGTGGAAGAGCAGGGCCGACTAACCTTACATTTGCACACCATGCTTTGGATCAAAGGTGCTCTGACTCCTCAACAGATCCGAGATCGCTTGACTCAAAAAGACAGCGCTTTTCAGAAAAGCCTCATTGAGTATCTGGAGGGCTGCCATCAGGGCGCTTTCTTGAGTGGCCGCGGGTCAGAAGTCGAAAGTCGCTTCCAACATGAGGTCAAAGTTAGACCGGAAAAGATGGATCCTTCCTTGATACTGCCGGAATCGCCTCCGGATGAATGCTCTGTACACGATAAGCTACGGTCTAAGTGCAATGATTGCAGCGCTTTGAGCGACTGGAAAGCCAGATTCAAACTAACTGTCGATGAATTGCTCCACCGTTTCAACAGACACGATTGCAACAAGGGTTTCTGCAAAAGTCCGAGGTATCCAAACTGTAAAGCGAGATTTCCTCGTGACATTATACCGGATACCACTGTAGACCCAGACTCCGGATATCTAAAAATGTGCCATGGGGAGGGGATGTTGAATACGTATAATGAGGTGCTCACTTATTTGATGATGAGCAACACAGACGTAACGAGCCTGTTGTCTGGTACTTCTTTGAAAGCGGTCATTGCCTACACAACAGACTATATAACAAAACCGGGGCTGAGGACGCATACCATGATGGAGATCATTAAGAGTGTCTTCACACGAAACTCGGACTTCCTACAGGGTGATTCCCCAAGAGCAGAGAAAGCGCGCAGACTCATGGTACAGATTGTCAATGCCATGACAGTGAAGCAGGAGATTGGAAGCCCCATGGCATGCGCCCATTTATTAGGGCACCCAGATCATTATACCAACTTTAAGTTCCGGCCCTTCTACTGGAGGATGTTCACCGGAGAAGTCAAGCGTGCTTGGGGGCAGCTATCAACAGACAATCAACACGAAGAGCCGACAGTTGTTGTCAGCCGTAAAGGGGGCGATGCAGGCGGTGTGGTAGCGTTATCGCCGGTGATAGACTATCAGATGAGAGGTTCTTCGCTACGAAACATGTCGCTTTATGATTGGATCAGACTTACTGAGAAGCAGAAAACACCTAAGAAGAAAGAGAAGCCTATCGCTCGAGATTCCGAAGAAGATCCATCTCCGTCTGATAAAGAAACCCTTCTTTCTGACACAGAGCAAGACGAGACAGAAAGACCTGTGACGCGCGGAAGCTTGTCACAGAAATCACAGCAGACGTTGGTCGACGAAGAAGACACAGGATACAGCTCTGATGATACCCTCATCGCTGAGGACGAAGAAGACGAGGACTACTATGACGACGACGACGATGATGATGATGATTTAGATGATGATTTGAGAGGTAGTAGATCTTCCAAGTCAAAGAAGGGTCGTGGAACTTTCTTCCAGTTCAGTAAAGATCATCCCCAACACAAGACGCACCGTATACGCATGGCCTCCGAAGATCAGGCAAAGATACCAAACTTCATAGGAGGTATACTACCCAGACGGGACAAGGGTGATGTGGACGAATACTGTCGCGCTATGTTAACGCTGTTCAAACCGTGGAATGATGCCCTATCCCTCAAAGCACCAGAACAGACCTGGCAAGCAGCATACGAGACGTACGAATTCACGCCAAGGGACCGCACCATTATGGGTTTCTTCCACGTGAGATATGAGTGTAACGATGCTAGAGACGATTTCAGAGCTCAGAGAGTTAGTCAAGCTAGGGACAATGGTTTGCATTGGGTGGGCGGGCAATTCATACACGAACTAGACCGCGAAGCATGGGCTACGAGCCAGTTAGAGGCACTTGGAGATGATATGTCGAAGATAGATCACGCTTTTGAACCAATGAGATACGGACAACGGATGGTAAATAGCTCATTGGCAATGGCAGAGATGAAGCATGCTCTGGAATCGGTGGGATGGGTAAACCCAACCTTCCACAATGATCAAGAAGCCGGTGAGGAGCCAGAGTCCAGTCAGCCCTCCAGAGAAGACAGCGCGCCTTCAGATATTGACGACCCAGAACAGCATATAGATGTTGGCAGTCGTACTCTGAGTCAATGGCGAGACATGTTGGCCGAAAAACGAAAGACGGCCATTGCTCAGAAAGCCGCCGGAATACCGGAAAATGATAGTGAAGGGGAGGGTAAACAGACCGAAGACAGTTACTGGGAAGATCAGGTTCGCATCATAGATAAGTCGTTTCTATCCAAGAACTACAAGGCGGGGGAAGAGGACGCCGGCAAGCTCGTAGACGACATAGTTCAGGAGTTCAAATTGAACGAAGAACAGGAAAGGGCTTTCCGGATCATAGCTAACCACTCAATTCTCGGCTCGATTGCGGATCCTCTAAGGATGTATATTGGAGGCATGGCTGGCACCGGTAAATCCCAGGTCATAAAAGCAGTAATCAAATTTTTTGAAGCGAAAGGCAAATCTTACGCCTTTCTGATATTAGCTCCAACTGGATCGGCTGCGTCCCTGATCGGAGGTTCGACCTATCACTCAGCTCTCGGATTCAGAGGTTCTAACAAGTCAGATGTCGACGGTGAGGCAAAAGGCGGGAAAGATCCGTTAACCAAAGGCATGTCTGCTCAGCAAGTGATCAAAGCTCGGTTGAAAGCAGTCGAGTACGTGTTCATTGACGAGATATCAATGGTAGACTGTCAAGCGCTCTATAACATCAGCCTGTCAATGAACACTGCCATGAACATCAGCGACGCTGCTTTCGCGAACAAGAACATGATCTTTGCAGGAGACTTCGCACAACTGCCGCCCATAACGAAATCAGGTCCTCCACTATACTCTGGTCTGGTCAGCAGTGTGATACACACCAGTAACTCGGTACAACAACAGAAGGCGAGTATAGGCAAAGCTCTATGGCACCAGTTCACTGTGGTTGTACTCTTGACCCAAAATATGCGACAGAGATCACAGAGCGAAGAAGACGCGAGGTTCAGAAAGCTGTTAGTAAACCTGAGAATGAGGTCGTGTGATAGAGATGACCTGGAGCTAATGCACTCCAGAATACCAAGGGACGGCCATCCAGACATAGATCTTATGCATCCAGACTTCGTACATGCATCGATGATCACCAGAAGGAACTCTAACCGCGATCTCTTAAACCAAGTTGGGACAGCTAGGTTTGCGAGGGCCAAGAAACGGAAGTTGTATACCTTCTATGCAGTGGACACCTTCTCAAATGCCAAAGTCCCTGCTAACAAGGCTGTTTTCGAGCACAATCCACTCAGAACCGGCAATGTGATACCAAAGGAACAGGCGGAAAAGGTTCTGTCAGTCCCCCCCGGAGATACGATGAGTATACCCGGAAAACTAACGCTGTGTAAAGGCCTCCCGGTTATCATCAAGCGTAACGATGCCACAGAACTTAATGTCACAAATGGTGCTGAAGCCACTGTGAGAGAATGGAGATCTTCGACTTTGAGTGACGGAAGATCGGTGCTGGATGTCGTGTTCGTAGAACTCAAGAATCCGCCATCCCCAGTAAAGTTGGACGGCCTACCTCTGAACGTGGTTCCCATATGCAGATCAAAGCAAAACATCTTTGTCGAGTTCCCCGACGCTACAGTGTTGCCTGTGAACCGTGACCAGGTCCCTCTCTTGCCTAACTTCGCTATGACCGATTATGCTTCGCAAGGTCGGACTCGACCAATCAATATTGTCGATCTAGAGCACTGTGATACCCATCAGTCCGTGTACACCTGCCTCTCCAGAGCATCAACTTTGAAAGGGACCGTCATTTTCCGCATGTGCAACCACGCGACTATATGCGGAGGACTGAAGTCGGGTCGATTAAAGCAAGAATTCAGAGAGTTGGAGCTGCTTAACGAAATCACGCGACTAAGGTGGGAAGGCAATCTGAGAAAAGGCGTTGCGGGGAACACCCGTTCTACTCTCCTCAAATCATACTTGCAAGTATACGGACATAAAAGCTGCCCGAAGAACATACACTCTGCAATCAAATGGGGGGAACCCGGTGAATCCGATCCACTCAAGATCGACTATGACGACGACCCTTCCTTTGTATGGAAGAGTATGGACAAGAAGACGGAAACCAAGCCAGGCAAAGACCATAAGAGCAGCACCGGGAAAGTGGATAAAGGCGAGACTCGCGGAAAAAAGCGCAAGATATCAGAGGTGGATACAGACACGCGACTGAAGACGGACATAGTTCGCCTACCCAAAAAGTCAAAATCAACCGGGAGAAGACAGCTGCTTAAAGGCATGAGATGGCGACGCCAAACCCAGACATGTGCCTACGACAGTCTCCTAACTATACTGGCGAACGTGTACTGGCATAACGCTGCGAAGTGGGGAGATGTTATGCACGGAGTCAACTCGACTCTGGAAGGCCTAGTCCAGAAGTGGTCAGTGTGTCTACAGTCGGCGTCATTTGAGAAGGCCGAGGAGGCAAGGGATACCCTCCAGAAGGAGCTCAATCGCCAAGACCCCGAATCCTTTCCAATCAACGGCCAGTTTACTGACATGGGTCAGCTAATCATGAAGCTCTTTGAGGATGAAAGCGGTAACCGCGCGCGGTACACCAGAAAATGTGCGTCGTGCAACGCGGAGGAAAACCCTCTTGTCAAGTGTCCCACGTGGACGCTTCCAGCATCGAGTACTCCCAAATTACTTTCCGCGGAGATCAAGCGACGCTTGAACCGAGTATCGGACCAAGTCTGCGTGGCATGCGGAGCCAAACAAGTCCGCGAAGAGGTAGAGATGAATGTCCAAGACCCACCTCCTTTCATAGCCGTTGGCCTTGAGGATAGAAGACACCGTAACGAAGGTGCATGCCAGCCTAAGCTCACAGCTACAGTCACTATCGGAGAGAAAGGCTCGAAGGTTACCTACAAGCTACGCGGTCTAATCTACTGGAACGGCTCACATTTTACTTGCAGAATGATAGGGCGAGGAGGTGAGGTCTACTATAACGATGGCATGAGCTTCGGCGCAACTTGCGCCCATGAAGCCAGCTTATCTGAAATCAAAGAACTGTACAACATAAAAGGAGCCCAGCTTACATACGCCATACTTAGCTTGCTTTGAGGATCGGCAAAGATCTTGCGGGACAATCGGTCCGAAGTCGCGTCGTGAGGTCGACCTCACGACGGCTCGTGGGAAAGATTGCCTCCCCGCATCAATCTCCCTCAATCCCGCGCCCATCGCAGGCGCTGGCTACGGACGTTGTATATACCGACCTAGAGAGCGGCCATTGCTCAATGACACTGTAGGGGCATCGGACAAACACCAGGTACACGCGGTACACACGCGATGTGTAAATGTCAAGATAATGACCTCGGTGATTGGATGATACGGCGATGCTGCGCCTCGGCTTCCCGCCGCAGATCTTATAAGCTTGACCGAAGGGCGTTTCTCACTTCCCCGCTCACTTCCCCGCCCACTTCAGCAACAGTTCACTTACACGTCCAGTCATGCCTCTGAACCTGGCAAAGCACCGGTTCTATAGGCACTTCTGGTATAGTCTCAATGGGTCCTCCACCTCGTGCCGGCAGGAGCTGATCCGTCCACTCTACAGCGAGCCTTCGGGTGCGATTGCCTTCCGCGTAGACGCCGACCGCGAAAAAATCAACGGCATTCGCATATGCGAGATTGGCTGCGTGTAAGTGGCCGGTTGCATGATGTATATTAGTCGGACTCATACCCGGCTACATAGTATAATGGCCAAACCCCCGCGCGAGACAACCTCGAAGAGCAAGGTCTGGTTCGGCGTACTTACGTGGGTTGAGCCTAAAGAGGATGTGCCCGTTCAAGGCGCTAGAATGGTATATTGCCTTCACACCAAACACCTACCCAACTTATGCCGTATAGTGCAAAGTGTGCTGGATCATGACGAAAGCTGATCTTATGGCGGACATCGAAGCCGGCGACTTTGTCAATACGCAAGAGTGAGTCTAGCGACAACACTTCCTGCTGCCCTGAACTCAATATAGTATACAGCATGCGCTGGTTCCTCCGATACAAGCCGGAGACGCGTGCTTGGCTCGCTAACGGATCTTCCTACGTACCCCTCAGCAGTCTGATCAGTATGTGCACCCTGCTCTCTTAGATCAGTGCTAACGGATCCCATAGCTGTCCCCACAGTGGAAGAGATCAATGATCGCATTGATCTGTCCAGATCCGTGCGCGTGCAGTTCACCGGCTACGGGGGGGTAGAGTTGGTGAAATATGACGACTTGTAGATTCATACGCGCTTCAGTAGTTATGACTGCAAGCATACTGTGAATGCGAACCAATTTCTCAGTACTCTATCCGACTGAATGGAAACTGTCAGAGCAAAAGGAAAATGATTAATAAGTTAATATTCCGAACAATACAATACTTGAGCCCGTCGCTTTGAGAGAAAAAAAAAACTACAAGTCGGCTATCCAGTGAGACGGCCGGGATTTGAACCCGCAACCCCTGCAGCTGTGCAAGCGTTTAGGCTAATGCTACGGCCGGGAATAGAACCCAGGACCTCACGCAAGTTGCCGTTCAGCTTGCATTAATGCAGGTGCGGCGACCGTTGCGCCAACCGCTCATAGATTCGGCCTCAGCATATTAATCATGTCCTCACCCCGTGTCTGCACATCAGATAATATCAAATAAACCCGGGGTGCCACAAAATATTCTACGTGCGGAGTATAGTGAGCTGATCGGGAATCGAACCCGCAGACCATGCAAAGGCACAGACTACTATTGAAATGCAACAGGTAGGATTAGAACCCCAACCCGTTGTCATTAAGCATGCCATAATGTAGGTGCAGGGACCATTACACCAACAGCCCATGGGAACTATGAAATCTCAGTAACTCAGCATCACAGATAGGGCAACACATACTATGGCTTAGCACTTAGTACTACCCAGTGAAGGAGCAATGTACTAGGGCCCGTCGCTTGGAAAAACAAAGCTACAAGAAGTGGCTAAGTGAGACGGCCGGGATTCGAACCCGCAACCTCTGCAGGTGTGCAGTAACACAGAAGCAGTAACCATTGAACCAACCGCTCATAGCTTTGAAACCAACATTTAAAACATGTCCCTTGCCACATCTGCACATCAAGCAAACCCAGGTCACCATAAAATATTCTACTTGAGGAGCATAACAAGTTGACCAGGGATCAAACACGCAAAGCATACAGAGGCACAAACTATTAGCTGAATGCAACAAGGAGGATTGGAACTCCAACAAGATCAATGATGAGAAAGCACGGACAAACTTCAGCCAAACTCATTCAGAGAAGACAACATGAAAAAACCCAGAGTCAGGGATGACTCGTTTCTGCAAGCTGTGCGGCCCCACTTCTACGAGTAGGTGGTCGGGGTGGTAATGAATGTGCTACAAGGGGAGTTTCGACACGAGAC